CAAGCGGGACCTGAAGGCCTTAGGAATAGACCTCAACAGATGGGAAACCCTGACATCTGATCGTTCAGCCTGGAGGCAGGCAGTGCATCACGGCCTCTCCCAATTTGAAGAGACCCTTGTCCAGCAGGCCGAGGCAAAGAGGAAGTTACAAAAGCAGCAACACCAGGGAGCTGGACAGGGAACAGATTGGATTTGTCTTCAGTGTGGAAGAGATTGCCACTCTCGAATTGGCCTCTTCAGCCACACTAGACGCTGTTCCAAGTCCTCCATACAGAGCACGACACCATAGTCTTTTGAGACTGAAGGATGCCTAACTAACTGCTCTGGGGAACTTGAAGCTATGAATCCCTGCACTCCTGCTGTGTACTTGGAGGAACTTAACCAGAAATTCATAACTCTGCAAAGAGATTCTGTGGTGCTTCCTGCCTCCTAAGCATGCCTCCAATATGACAACCTAAGTAGGTGTCAAATGTATTTGGAGAAGAGTTTTATGGATACCATGAATGACAAGAAACTAATTGGTTCTAGAAGTCTCACTAGGAGAGAGGATTTGATGGGATTGAGACTGCAGTACTCTGGATGTATTGTAAGACAAGACTGGCTGGAAAATATATCAGGGTTTGTAAAAATTGAAGGCAGCAGAAAAAAAGGAAAGGGAACATGATCAACTTAAGTGAACCCATTGTTTTTAGTTTGCACTACCTCAGAAGAGTTATTGATACCTTTCAGTGATCATTACTGCACAGGGCCACCATAAACTGGAAGTGACTTAAGGATACAGAACCACTATGTGTCTATACAACCTGCAATGTATCTATACTTTCTTGTGATCATCATGTGGCATAACGTCAATTTTAACTTATGGCAGTCATTTTCGGGGTTTTCTAGGTAGAGTACTCAGAAGTGGTTCACCATTCCCTTTGGGAGGGCGCATCCTGGGACTGTGCAGCTTGTCAAGGCCACACAGGCGTGTCTTCTCCCTGGAGGTGCAGTGGGAAATCCACAGCCAGATGCCCAACTCACTGAGCTATCCAGCCAGCTTAGGCCCCATGTACTACTATAATGTTGGGATGCTACATATTCCAAAGATGGGAAAGTTACTAGGAAAAGGTTAACAGTTTTTAGTTCAACATGATTTAAGTTGGAAAGTGCAAGTCTTTCACAGATATTTAATATCACTTTAAATGATTTGATAAAACCATACTAGAAAGTAGAAAAACCTATCAGTTATTCTGGGTGTTTTTTTCTCTTGTCCCTGTTTGAGCCTAATAGAAAGGAAACAGCTAGATAAATTTTTGAAAAAGTTTTGTTACATGACATCAAATCATGTCCAACTTATGGTAAATTAATTACCTGCCAAATATCCTATCACTAACAACCTCTCTCTCAGGTCTTGCAAACTAAAACTTATGACTTGCTTTGTCGCGTCAATCCATCTCATATTAAGGCTTCCCCTTCCTACTGCCTTCCACTTTTGTGATGTGTCCAAAGTGCACTAGCCTCAATTATTCTCATTTGTGAGGAAGAATGTCTAATTCAGGAGAACACTCAGCCAATGAATTTGCAATTTAACATTGGCAGGCAAATTCAAAAACACTGGTTATTAGTAGGTACCAAGGCTCAAGGTAAACACTGCCTAAAGAAGGTACTTCCCAGAGAGGACCAGCAGAGCTATGAGCAGCTATTCAAATGCCTGTATCAATTGGCAATGGACTGTATTGGTATTGGGTATAATGAATGCAACCCTCCTCTAACTCCATCAGAGGAATTGATGGACTAATACTAGTTCTCCTATGGCTAGCACAGTGAACTGCATGGTGGAGATTTTATGTAAACATGTTACCGTTAATGTTTGTTAACTAGCTAAATACTGATTCTGGGTCTTCATAATATGACACAGGAATATTGGAAATACACCATGTGTATTGACTGAATACACCATGTGTATTCACATACCTTAGAGAAGGTGACCAAATATTGGCTTACAAGAGACAGTAAGAAAAAAATAGTTTCACTTAATACTAATTATTGCAAACACATTTTAAAAGAGAAGATAGTTGTTTTTGCATTCTTTTAAACTGTTTAATGGGTCAAGTATGCACCTTTACGTTTTACATTACAAAGCACTTTCAATTTTACACAGCCCATACTGTCAGCCACCATAGGCCAAAATAAGTGATTTTCCCTATATATACATACATATACATAAATGTCAAGGAACAATAAACAAGCATCCATGATTCAGCCCCATCTCACCATATACAGAGCACAACTTCTAGTGACCAACAGAAGATACATAATCATGATGCCTAATACTTGTCACTGATTACCCAAAACTTGTCTCTGAAGTTACTGAAGGAAAAATGTCAACATTCTTCCAAAATTAGTTATCGCTGAATATCAGAAAGTAAATTTACATGAACTCTCTGAATAAAAACTGGAATTCATTTAGGGAATGGAAAAGCAACCAGAGACAATTTATATTTCTTTGAACAGATCCCAAATATTAACCTAAAATCTTTACATCTGCATTTTTCAAGTATTAAAAAAGTAAATGTTACTAGTTTAAGAAATTTATTATGCAAAGTAAACTCGTTTGACTGTTTAGGCATAGAATACTATGCATAATTGTACCTGTAACAACCACTATTAATCCCAATTGCTTTGTTTCAGTGTAAAGACCGTTCCATGCAGTACTATACTGTCGGAAGGTGCAAAATGGAAAACTTGGCTATTACTCCAGAAGTGATCCAGGAAAGGAAGAAGTTCTGTTAAGACTCAAGAGCAGCAAAAGTGCCTGTTTTCTAGGGCAGTGGTCCTCAACCTTGGGCCTCCAGATGTTCTTGACTTCAACTCCCAGAAATCCTGGCCAGCAGAGGTGGTGGTGAAGGCTTCTGGGAGTTGTAGTCCAAGAACATCTGGAGACCCAAGGTTGAGGACCACTGTTCTAGGGTACTCTTGCTCTCTGTTCACTATGTTGGTGCACTGCAATATAAAAACTAGTCTTCAGCACAGTACCCCGAAGTGTTCCATGGAATTCAGTAAAATTAACAACTGAATCCTATAAAATTTTACACAGATGAAACTCCCACTAAGTTTAATGGCACTTACTCCAGGTTATTGTGTATAGGACTGCAATTTCAGTTGAATGAACATCTGTCGCAAGAACTGGAGCGTAAAATTGTACTGTTCAGGAGATATAGGCTGAATGTGGTAGTGCTATAACTATGGTAGGGATATGCAACATCAAACTCCTGCCCCAAACACTACCAGATACCAATCAGGTCTTTGCATGTTCAACATAAAGTTCTGAAGAGGCTAAATATGCCAAGGTCTACCTTGCCTCTCTTGAAGGGTTGACACTGGGGTAGGGAAAATGTTCCTACACAGTTAGAACCCTACCCAGTTTCAGGTTATAATGCCTGAACAGTTCCCATGAATGAATTGATAGATGTGCACTAGAGATGTGAAAAGTAGAAAATCATTCTGTAAACTGTATTTATTCAAAGCAACTTAAAATAAGTGTGAATTGTCACGTTCCTCAACTGTCTACATTTAAATTATCTTTAAATTATGGGTTAAAGCAATGCATTGCATTTTAAAGTAAAAGAAAGGGTTAAGAAATACTTCTCTTAGATATAAAAAACAGTTAAATATCACTGTTTAACCAAATATCACAGAAGAAAAATCTCATGAACCTTTTCTTCACCTCACACTGTTTAGTGTTCCCAGCAAAGGCCAGTTACTTCCTCTGTATTACAATAATTCTTTAGTATTACTTAAGGAATTTAAACAGTATTTTTTCAAGGTGAAGCCATGAATCTCAGCCCACTAGTAAGCAGTGTAGATTGTATCTGCCACGCACGGAGAAAGAAGTACATTTTCCTTTTCATGTTATGAGGGATTTAAATGGTCTGATGGTGGTCATTATTATTTTTTAAATCCACATACCTTGGAAACCCGAACTGTAAGTTGTCAATGGCAAAAAACTTCAGAAAGGAGGTATTTTAAGTTAATGTGGTAAAAAAAAGACACTTGTGGTGATGAGTATGACAATGAGATAAGAATCTTTTAAGAAACAGGTTACAAAGTAAATAGCAGTACCAAGAATTGACTGTCAGCTGGCTTAATCAAAGCAGTGTTATCCAGCTTTGTTAACACATGCATCATAATCAAAAGAACTGCCAATACTACTGTCCCAAAGGAGTAGTAAGTATGAAATGGCTTTGTTTTATGTGATTTAACTCTATTTTATAACTATTGGCTTGAAAACATACTGTCTGGCAATAGTTATAAGAAGATCACCAATTTCAGTGATGTTTTGTGACAATGAAACTCAACTGATCAAAATATTAATTTACAAGTATTCCTCTTCATCTAAATTAGACATAATAGTTTTAGTCACTGCTACCTTATATGAAAATTTCAATATTTTCAAATCAAATACTCAAAATTAGCTTCATGTGAAAGCTCATTCTGAAAGTACGTCTCTGATAGATAGCTGCTGTTCACAAACTGCTGGGTATTTATTTCTTTATTGCCAACAAAAATTTCCAATGAACATAAAATGTTACCAAAACGGTACTGAAGTGTCAGAATGTTTTTTCTTGTTGTATATATACTATGTGGGACAAGCGTTCTGCATCCAATACAGAATTAGATATTCTTTCAGAGAAATAGGCAAATTCATCTGTTACATTTATGTCAGAACCATGGAAGTAATGAATAGTATATTAAAAGTCTCTATTTTCTTACGAAAAACTGAATTTAAAGAAAAAGTACAATAATATTTGCACTTTATGTCCATTGCCTAAATATTCAGAAATATGTAGCTGTAGACGTATGAAAGACTTAGGAAATAGACAGTTACATTCTGTGAGGAATAAGAAGGCACTGCTGATAGGAGGTTGTATCCAGTTATTCATCTAGAGACCCTTTTGTGATAACATCATTCACAAAAATGCCAGCATTTTCCCTTTTAGATAATCCACTTCACTTACTATTCTCTGGTTTTCTAACCACAAACATCACACATTCATAATAGTATTTCATCATAGATAACTCATTCACAGTATATGTTGTCAAGACAGATTCATTCTCCACCTAAAAAAAAAGCAGTGTTTTAATAAACATGTATATGCTTCACTGAAAATATTTATATGTATTATCACTATTATAGCAAATTCTACTCAGCCCTTTAACAGATACAATCGAGGAGGAGGAGGAGGAGGAGGAGGGAGACAGCAATTGAATACATAATGATCAGGTTTCAAAATATAACAAAATCAGCAGGGCTAAAGTTTTTAAAATTTGCAGAATAAATAAATAAAAAGCAGTGTTAGCATTTGTTTGGTAAATTATCATTTTAAACATTAACCTCTGATCAATAGTTTCAGTAATACTGGGTCTGAAACCTCACAATTATAAAGTAAGTACAGTGGTGCCCCACATAGCGACGTTAATCCGTTCCAGGATTAACGTCGCTATTCGGATTCATTGCTATGCGGGGCGGGGGAACCCCATAGGAACGCATTAAACTCTGTTTCATGCGTTCCTATTGGGGAAAAACTCATCAGTAAGCAAAGATTCACCCATCCGGCGGCCATTTTCGCTGCCCCGTAAGCGAGGGCAGGGCGCAAAAACGCTGCGGGCGGTCATTTTGCTGATCCGGCGGCCATTTTGGAACCGCCAATCAGCTGTTTTATAAACATCGCAATGTGAAGATCGATAAGGGAAACGCTTAACGATCATCGCAATGCGATGTTTAGCCTATCTAAACATCGCAATGCGATTGCATTAGCGATCGCAAAAAACGGGTCGCTATGCGAATTTGTCGTTAAACGGTGCGCTCGTTAAGCGAGGCACCATTGTACAGTGGTACCTCAACTTAACTTAATCCGTATTGGGACTGTGTGCGTAAGTCAAAACGTTCTTAAGTCGAAGCACTATTTCCCATAGAAATGCATTAAAAACCCATGTCTGCTGTTTTCGTTCTTAAGTCGAAGCATTAGTTCCCATAGGAATTAATGCAAAGCCGGTTAATCCATATCTACCACTAGGGGGCAATTTTTTTTTATTTTTTGGTCTTTTGACCTAAGGCAAACTTAGGTCAAAAAAAGGGCATGAAAGAGGGTGGTTGGTTTTTTTTGTTGTTGTTCTTAAGTCGAGGCTCCGTTCTCAAGTCAAAGCAACTTTTTGCGAACGGAGCTGTTCTTAACTCAAATCGTTCTCATGTAGGGACGTTCTCAAGTCGAGGTACCACTGTAAAAGTAGTTTCAGTAATACTGCTTCCCCGAAAATAAGACCTAACCTGAAAATAAGCCCTAGTATGATTTTTCAGGATGCTTGGAATACAAGCCCTACCCCAAAATAAGCCCTAATTAAGAGAAACCCCACCTTCAACCATTGTGCAGCACTGTGCAGCAACCAGAAGATGACATGACTGTAAAATAAAACATCCCCTGAAAATAAGCCCTAATGCGTTTTTGATATAATGTAAGACCCTGTCTTATTTTCGGGGAAACATGGTACAGTGAACTCTATTTAGAAAGAATATTATTATGTTGGCACAGATCAAGTATACCTTTCTTCATCTGAATAACCAGAACAGTACAGTACCTTGTACTGAAGTGGATCCCTGTGATCTACATCAGAATGTTACATTGTATATCCAGTTGAAAAAGCACACCAGTCAGGCTGATAACCTTGCAGTGTTATTTGAAGCCTGCTGGGGGTTATATTATGGACATGAGATGCCCATCATAAAAAAAATCTACTCTGTATGGCAATGGTAGGCAACTTTGCCCTTTTCAATATTTCTGGATGAAAATTTCCATAATGTAACCCCTGACCCTCTTCACTACAGCAGATGTGATTTGTATGCCAAAAAACTTAAGAGGGCCACTGTTGGCTCTCAACTGCAAGCCTTTCTGGACCCTGGAGAAAAACAAGTGTATCTTGTTTCATCTTCCATTAGTCCTGAATACATCCTAAAACATAAAAATAACGTTTCCGCTTCATTACATAACCTTTTCTTGGCTATAATCTCACCTCTGATACTAATTAAAAGCTGTTAGGGGCCTGTGGGCCAGCTCATTCTTCCTACTGTCACCTCCAGTATCTTTTTTTCTTCCCTGCTTAAATGTCATACCAGTGTTCTGTATCTGCCAGAAACTTAACTGGTCCTTGTCATGCCATTTTGTTTAATAATTTTTTGTATTTACAAACTCATCTATTTTTGCTATCTTTCAATTTTGGCGGTTTTCACTAGTAAAATAAGACCTTCAACTACCTGAGTTCAACTGTAAGTATATATGACTGAAATGTCAACATCATCATAGAGAGCTGTAAGATGCTGATAGAAGACAAAACTCTCAAGACATTATCTGATTTCAAACAATTTATACTGCTCTTAAATCTGCTGATATACACCTTACCTCAATACGAAATCCATACTGTAACATAACATTTTTTATATCTTCATAACTCAGTTCAATAGATAATTCATTTGCTAAGTTTTCAAAATGGTAGAGAAGAGGACCTACAATATAATGGAAAAAATCAGTAAATTTAACTTAATAAACCTATCCGGCAATCATGTTTATCAGTGCTATATGCCCTACCAGCAGTGCAGGTCAAGAACAAGACATCCTCTGATATTTCAATATTCTGTTGTAAATAACCATTTTAAAATATTTTGTTCTTACACTGAATCGGCTATACTGCAATTTTAAAAGAAATCTGTACAAAATGGATTAGCATTAAATGAAAACAATACTTTCATATACTTAAAATTCATTAAGTTTCAGGATTTCAATATTGCAGGACTTTTCCCTCACCCTTAATATCACAAACATTACAGTATTTTCCTTTATTGTCATCCTAAATTGCAGTCTACTTTAAGATACAGCAAGTTACCTAAATTGATCCATATTCCTCCAGGTTTCAGTATTTTCCATATTGTATCAATGTAATCTATGACATTATGTGCTGTGTCTATGAAGAAACAGGTTGCTATGCAATCCCATATATCTGTATAAATAAAAAAACAATAACAGTAATCTACCTGTAAATAGTCTACTATGAGTTGAGTCAGCTGTACTTTCCAATTGAGATGCTCGCCCTGCACAAGAAAGTAATTTCTGCTAACTCAGTGGAGGGTCCGCAATTTCCACCAAAGTTACAGCAGTGAATGGTATTCCAAAGGGACGGGGTCTGTGACTTCAGACAACTGCAAGATCTGAAGCAGGAGAGACCCATCAAATGCATGATCAGTAAAATCCACCATTTCTCAAAAACAAAGAAGCAAAATCTCATTATTATTTGGGAGCTTTTAAAACTGCTCACACCTCCTTTGGGCCTTAAAGTAATCCTTCATTTAAAAAACCAAACAAGCAGACAGAAAGAATACAGGAGTTACTCTGGAATAATGGTGTTTAAATACATATGGTTTTGTCTTATCGAACTGACAAAGTCCTTAGTATTAAATAAACTGTGGATTCTGATAAGACTAATTTAACAATCAGAAAATTGGCATGGCTGAGCACAGGATCCTAGAAACTGGCCAGATCAATCAGCTTGTTTAAGGTGTGGTGTATGTTTGCAGTCTAAATTATCAGAAGTAAAAAGATTATCATGTCTGAAGAAGAGCCAAACTATTAAGTTATTGACAAAAGAAATTTGAGAGGTAAAATGAGTATTCAATACTTTAAAACACTAGTGCTATTGACTTATTTAAAATGAAAAAGCAAAATAAAACACATTTTGGTTACATAATCCAAGTTTTGTCTGATGGGTTTGGACAAGCATTTGGTGTGTTGGTGAACTTATATCATCTAAGAATCAGGAGGGATGGTCTCCTTACTTACTACACTCTGAGTAGATTTCTTGAAAATCGCCTGCTGTCATAGAAAAGTTTGCACCAGGAGGAAGACTGTGCGGGTCAACATCAGGGAAATAAATTGGCTGTATCTGATCAGCAGATTTCTTATTATTGCTAAACTGATGGATCCAGGGATACAATTTGTATGAATTAGTTGCACAGCATCTGTAAAAGTTAATCAGAAAAAGTTTCACCATTTTACTTAGAATACTACAAACATCACAAGCTTTAATATTTTTAGTTTGTTACTAACATCAAAGAATACAGTGGTGCCTCGCATTACGACGTTAATTCGTTCCAGTGAAATCGCTGCAGAACGAAAACGTAATGCGAAATAAAAAAAGGCCATAGAAATGCATTAAAACCCGATTAATGCGTTCCGGCACTCATCTTGTGAGGCACCACTGTATTGAAGATCAAAATTACACCAGTGAAATGGCATAAATTGCACTGGGAAATTGCCACTACAATAGGACCCCCATATCTGTGGGATCAGTATCTGCAGTTCCACTTATCCATGGTCTGACAATATTAATAGAAAAAAATCCAGAAAAAAATATTTTCACATATATTACCAGAACCAGTCACTATAGGGAGTCGGGGACTATGCTATGAATACTATGCTTGCTAGTGAAGATTATGTAGCATGGTCACAGGTGCCTTCTTATGGCCAGTTCTGGTAATGCATGTGAAAAAAAATTTTCTCTCCTTTAACCTTGGTATATAGTGTTTGCTATTATCCATTTTTCAGTATCTGTGCAGGGGGCTTAGAACCAATCCCCAGTAGATATGGGGGTCCTACTCTATTAAACAAGTTGCTGCTTTTCTTGCATGTTACTGGTGTGCAACAAGCAAAATGGCTGACAATTTGCTGCTGCAATTTATACTGCTACGCTAACATTGACATAAATAGGATTTCAGGCAATAATATTTCTAAGGATTATTGAAATATCTCCCCTTAGGTCTTGGATATTTATTAATTATGTACTGTAAAAAAATATAAGAACAGCAATTATAGAAATTGTTTAAAATTTAAAGTCTTACTCTAGTTAAGATAGTATAAATTGTAAGACTTTAAACAATAAACAGAGATTACAATATGTCAACCAGTGTTAGAATTAATATTTTATAGACTTGCAGACAGCAGAGTTCTTGTCCTGCCACCACTATTCTTTTGTGCACAGTGGTGAAACTGTGAGATGCGTTCACTATGGTTTCCTAATATTACATTAGAACTAGGAATCTGTAGTTTAATTTCTGCTTATTAACTATAATATAAAACCAAGATGAGATTCTGGTAAATAACTATGGAATAAAAAGCAGTTTCCTGAATTAACGTGAACAAGAAATGAACTAGTATATCAGTACCAGTCAGACCAAATGAAAATACAGGACCAGACAGATGTGAAAAGAAAGAAAACAGCTAAATAAGTTCATGTACCTGTTGAGTACAAAATTAGAAGAAAAGAGCATAAAGAGGCTCCATTCATTTCCTTGGCAAGTATAACCAAGCATAGCTATTTCCCAGGCCAATCTACCTAGCCCAGCCCCAGGCACCAGGACATTAACTTTGGAGAGGTCCCTGAAACACAAAAAAAGAACAGTTAATCCTTATTTATCCTTTAAAAAGCCTGGCCAATGAATGGATAGCCCTAGTCTTTTTTTGTAATTCACATAGACACACAGGTTCAGTCCCATTTATCTGGATAATTTGTGCAGCTTCCTAACCTCAGATTGTTTACCAAGCAGCAGCACGCTTTGCTTTTGCTTTGCATGATAACAAACATGAATATCCAATCTGAGTTCTATAGCATATCTTCTACATTCACAATTACCATGTTTTCTTTATTGCTCATCTCTCATGTGCTCTGATTTGCCAGTACAAAAACAGCTGTGATAAAGAACTAGGTTTTATATTTTCAAAAGGAAAATTAGTCATTGCTTCTTTGATCATGGGTTGCATTAAAGCATATGAAGTATCTTATGAGGAAAAATATGAACTATAAATAAGCAAATAGATGAACAGTAGGATTGTTGGTTTCATTTGGAACAAAGAATCCTACAGCGTAGCCCTTTATTTACTTACAATTAGGTCCCATCTCATTCAGCGAGGCTTACTCCCCAATACTATAATCAAAATTCTGTCACATAGTTACCCAAAGGTGCAACTTAGAGGAGAACTGCTATTAAGAAGTCTCTGAAGGCAATAACTCTTGTATGCCAAGTCATGTGACCTAGGATACAACATATATTACGTAGGGAGATTACTTAATGTATTGTAATTTGTCTCTAAAAGGTCATGTGACCTAGGATACAACATATATTACCTAGGGAGATTTCTTAATGTAGTGTACTGTAATTTGTCTCTAAAAGCTATGATTTTTGTGTAACTGTGCAACAGGATTTTGTCCACTGGATTATAACCTGACTCCAATTCTATACACTACTTATCTTGCTGTATTGTTACTTAATCTGCAAAGAATTACCGTAATCACCATCAAAACACTGACAAATTTCAAACAAATTTTCACCATGTCCCTAAAAAGCCTTATTATTTTTATTCTGTTAAAAATCAAACAGAATCCTTTTGAACAATTCTGCTAGTTGCAAGGGCTACTCCCTCCATCTCAAAGCCTTGAAAACTGCTTGAGCATTTCACTATAGTGGTTGTTGTAAGTTTTTCGGGCTGTCTGGCGGAGTTCTTGAGGTTTTTCTTCCTAACATTTCGCCAGTCTCTGTGGCGGACATCTTCAGAGGACAGAAGTCAGAACTCTGTCTGTGCTCTGGTGCAGTTTGTGGGATAGTTGAGTATTTATAGCTGTGGGATTAGCTTTTTGTCCTTTTCAGGAGATTGGGTGATTATGGTGATCAGTGTGAATTGCAGCTATAAATACTCAACTGCCCCACAACCTAGGAAGAGAATCAAACTGATTCACACAAGAACATGCATTAATCTACATCAAATCTGTGACTTCAAAAGACCCAGTGGTATGTCCATGAAGCTCCTTTTCATTACATATGAAAGATTTGTGAACTTTAAGCAATCTGACTGAGGTTCATTCATTTAACAGCACTAGTACAGCATTCGGAGCCACTGTTCCATGTGTTTCAGCTGAAGAAACCAATTAACATATATGATTCTTTGTTCTACATATGAAAGTTACGTCACATTTCAGTGTACATAGATATCTGGCTAATGGAAGTATCCTTTGAACCAGTCCCAACCCTGCGTTCCAGATGTAGTGGGACTAAAACTCCCAGAAGCCTCCACCACTAGCAATCCTGGCCAGGATTTCTGAGAATTGTAGTCCGAGAATATCTGGGGACACCAGGTTTGGAACCACTGCTCTGATAAATTCTGCAAAACTGAATATATTATGGACATCAATCAACATTTCACCAAAAAATGAAATGTGAATGAGGAGTACATTTCATAATAAGCCTGAAATTCAGTTTGGTGCATTTTTCCCCAGACAGAGTGACAAGACTTAATCAGTGAAAGTCTTTTAAAAGTCCACAAGACTGTGACAGTAATATTTATTTTAAATTAACTGAAAGCTTCCTGTCCCACCCTCTGGTTCTGAGGCTCCCAGGGGTTCCTTTTAGACCTGGAGCGACTTTGGGAGTCTCACAGTGAGAGAAGAGGAGACTATAATAGCCAAAAATCACTGCAGGATCACTGCCAATGGTCCTGATCCCCTAAGCCAGCAATGGCGAACCTATGCCACACATGCCATAACTGGCACACAGTGCCCACTCTGTGGGCACACAAGCAAGCCATACAGTTGTGTTCAAAATTATTCAACCCCCACTGAAATTGAAAGTCCACAAGACTGTGACAGTAATATTTATTTTAAATTAACTGAAAGCTTCCTGTCCCACCCTCTGGTTCTGAGGCTCCCAGGGGTTCCTTTTAGACCTGGAGCGACTTTGGGAGTCTCACAGTGAGGGAAGAGGAGACTATAATAGCCAAAAATCACTGCAGGATCACTGCCAATGGTCCTGATCCCCTAAGCCAGCAATGGCGAACCTATGCCACACATGCCATAACTGGCACACAGTGCCCACTCTGTGGGCACACAAGCCATAAGTCACCATTGAGAAATACATACCCATCCTCCAATCCCAGATTTAGGCACTCCCCTCTGCTGCTGCAGTGGTCCAGTAGAGGAGTGCAATGGCAGCCATTACCTATGGGGGATTGGAGGACTGGTAAGAATTTCTCTGTTAATACTGCCCCTAGAAAAAACCCAAGCATTTAACCCTTGCAGTACAAACCTAACAACTCAAACTGTTCAAGGCTTTCTGCCTCCCACATCATAATATGCTTTAAAATATATCAAATAAATGCTCAAGCAAGTGGACTCTGTGACCACCAACCCTTTCAGAGCTATAGGAACAAAAATAACATTTGAGATGGAAAACTTTTCTACAATCAAGTACTTAAAAAACAACCCCACTGATTACAGTGGTGCCTCGCATAACGAGTGCACCGTTTAACGACGAATCAGCATAGCGACGCGTTTTTTGCGATCGCTTTTGCGATGTTTAAATAGGATAAACATTGCATTGCGATGATTGGTAAGCATTTCGCTTACCGATCTTCGCACTGCGATGTTTTAGAACAGCTGATTGGCGGTTCCAAAATGGCCGCCCGCAGCATTTTCGCGCCGATTCCTTGCTTACTGAGGCGGCGAAAATGGCGGCCCTATGGAGGATTCCCGCTTAGCGATGAGTTTATCCCCCATAGGAACGCATTAAATGGAGTTTAATGCGTTCCTATGGTTTTTTTTGCCCCGTATAGCGACGTTTCCAGATAGCGACGATTTATCCGGAATGGATTATCGTCGCTATGCGGGGCACCACTGTACATTAGTCAAAGCTAGTGAAATATTTTAAAGACACATGTTGATGAAATATTGGTTGTATCCAATGGTGGCTTTACATTAGTGGAAAGTTCATATGCTTATGCATTAAAAAGCACCCAATGTTCACAACCACCCGTACGTACTGCAGTCATTAGTGTCACTTCACATATTGTCCCAGGTGATCACTCAACCTTCCTGAGCAGCTTTCTGGAAGCACCTGAAGGCTGCAGTGGGTGAACAGGGGGTCAATAAAAAGTCTTACTGAAGAAGAGTGTATTACTTGGTGACCTCAGTTGCCCCAATAAAAATATTAATATTTGCAATGATAGAAAACAAAGGTGCTTTCAATTATTTGTTTCCACATGAATTCTATAAAGTGAGCTGAAAATTCACGTGTCAATAACTGCCAAAGCTATAGCTGCAAAAAGTCAGAAACTCATAACTATCATCACCACAATGTCATTTTTATAAGAAAGAATGAAATGGAACAGCAAGTGTGAAAAAATATTAAATAGCACTTATATACAGTGGTGCCTCGCTAGACAGTTATCCTGCATGACAGTTTTTTTCACTAGACATTGGCTTTTTGCGATCGCTATAGTGATTTGCAAAACAGTGATTCCTATGGGGGAATTTCGCTGGACAATGTTTGGTCCCTGCTTCGCAAGCCAATTTTTGCTAGACAACGATTTTGACAGCTCCCTCTGCGCTCACTAACAGGTGTTTTCGGGACCTAAGCTTCGCAAGACAGCTATTTGAACAGCTGATCGGAAGTGGCCGATCTTCGCTAGACAACGATTCTTCCCCACTGGAACGCATTAAACAGGTTTCAATGCATTCCAATGAGGAAATGCTTTTCGCTAGACAATGATTTCGCTAAATAGCGATTTCAGTGGAACGGATTATCATTGTCTAGCGAGGCATCACTGTACTAGCTGCTCTAGAAAGGCACTGACCTTCTCGAATATATATTGTAGCCCTCACAGCACCTCTAGATTAGAACTGGTAGTAAGCTGCAAATCACAGTGCTACAGATTTTCACCAACCTTCTACTTGCAATTTTGAATCACCTTTGGGTTCATACTTGGTAATTTTCAGTTCAGTATTTTTGTCTAATATTGAACTGAAAGTTGATAGAAATGTCTAGAAAGTGACCGTGAGGGTCACTATGCAGTTTTTAAAAACAAAATATAAGAATTCACATATTCTACCTCCTTGAAACATTATACTAGATTCTATTAAATAATGATAATTATCACAATGATTTTTATGCAATTATATAGCTTAAACATTAATTGCATGTAGCAAGTGCACAGATGGTATTAAACCTTCTCGGGTTATACTTCAAGCATCATTCCACTGAAGGATTTTGCCCACTTACCAGGGAATAGGCCCCACTGAAGCTGTGTGATGATCTTCTGAGTAAAAGTGCACTGGGCTCTGCTATAAAATTCCTATATTCTACTCACCCCATCTTCCTTCCACCCAAGTGTATATAAATAACTACTGAAGTAGGCTATAGCTCACAAATGTATATGCCAAATGAAAGATGTTTTGTTGTTGTTGTTTAGTTGTTAAGTCATGTCCAACTCTTTGTGACCCCATGGACCAGAGCATGCCAGGCCCTCCTGTCTTCCACTGCTTCCCGGGGTTTGGTCAAATTCATGTTAGTTTTTAAGATTCCACCCTATTGCCACTTTAGTTTTTAAGATGTTACCCTATTCCCACTTTTAAATCAATACATTCTTATCTAAAAAAACAAATTAAACAGTATTATGTATACCTAGTAATGGGGAATTTCACTGAATCCCAAACTAGTGGGGGTGGCCTTTACAAATATATACTCAGTGTAGGTAGCTAGTTAGGAAGACAGAACACTTCCAATGTTGATCCTTAACTGTAAACATTCCTTCATAACACAGAAAAAGACATACAGAAATATTTCTTTTTCCACTAACCTGCAGGTGAGGTTATTAAAAAAACCCAAGCCTTCTTATTTTAAAGGTATAAGAACTTACCGTAGGTTTTTCTATAATTGAAGACATTCTTGAATGCCTTGAATCTAACAAGGGAAGGGTACTTGTGTTATAGTTTGAATGAGCTTTTAAGCTTTTTCTTTAAAACTTTCTCTGTTGGCAAAGTAATGCATTTGCACTGACTACAAGGGAAGTCAAAAGTAGGGTTGAATAAACCTGACTATTTCAAACTAGCCCATTATAGCTACAAATGAATTCTGCCAACAGGATCAAACGACACATTACAAGAAACACAATGTGCCAGGGTATTGCTAGCTATTTATAACTGAGTAATCAGACTTCACATTTAGAAATAAAAAGAACATCCCCCCAAAAATGTTACTGAGTACCATGATTTCTTGCCTGGCTTTGGTTTAAGAATAATATTTCCACCTTTCCAACAATATGTGCCTTGATCTCCAGTATGATTCATTTGGCAATAAGCTATGACTAACTTTTAAGTATGCACCTGCTTCCCAGTTCTGTACACTGGACATTCTGCCCCAAACAGACAGCTCCACTAAACAGCCTTCTATGACATTCCTTTCTCTGGTAAAATAAATAAGATATAGTCAAACCAGACATTTACATCTCAATTAGTCTTATACATGGTGAAAATATTCATAATCTACATAAAATTTACACTTGCTTTTAATCCATGGTGTTAAATCTAAATGCAGGGTTGCCCCCATAGATTTTGGATGTTTGCCCTGAGCTGTTGAAGGAAAAATCTTAACATTTTGAAATAATCATATACAAAAAATAGGCCAATGTTTGATTACTTTCCCTTATGCAGTTAAAAAAAAAGATTAATTAATAAACTACACCAGCATTTTAAAGCTTTTTTCTCTGACTAAAAATTATTAGCAACAGATGCATGACTGTGCATTTATCCCTTCAAACAAATCTTGACAATATTTACCATCGATCTTTTGGAAAGTTCTTTACAATTTCATTAATAATTGGCTGATAGCAGGAATCTCTCTCGGGCTTCCCAGTTTCACTCCAATCTCTTACGAATTGTTTTAAAGTTGACTTTAATTTATCCATATCAAAAGTTGAAGCTGGTGTAATCTTTCCATTACCCTGATAAAAATGTAAAACAAAAGTTAGCCATGGAACAATCCAGGAACTGAGGGGGAAAAAATAAGCAACTTTTATTTTTCAACTTCAAACTGCCATACAATTGGATGGTAAGTTGCGAAGTCCTTCACAACAAGAGCTTATGGCTAACAATTTAACCCTAAATGAAACAGTTCAAAGATGTATTCAAAGATGTATCATTCTCCATTATAAAAGATGAACATTCATTAATCAGAAAGACCCCAGAATAAATTTGGCCTTGTAAAGCACTACTTATTTGGTTACCTGTGTCAGTTAAAAGTCTGGTTTAGGCAAATAGAAAGGCTTTTTAAAGTTAGAAAGAAATTATTTCTTCTTATTTAAGAATATTAATAAGTTACAAAAGGTAAGGGTTATTGGCTAGTGTAAACCACTTCATTAGTAAGTAATTTCTGTAGAAGGCTACATTTGTGTTCATGAACATAAAAACAAACATGTCATAGTCTCTTTAAAACAAGGAATACATCTGACAGCACTTTGAGACTGACTTTTAACAAACATTTTACTAAAATATACCTTAAAGCTTCATAGATAACAACTCTTGCACACTATGAAACATATTTCTTTCCGCTAACATAGCTTCCATATTATGAAATTAGAATTCTTTCTAAGTGCAATACAAAGTTTTTTAATTTCCTAGAACTGTGATGTGATTTGATCAAATGACTGACTATATGATGAACAAAAATACCTTTACCAAAATAACTAATTAGCCAAATTAAACATCACTAATTTACAAAAGAATAAGAACAAATCTATCATGTGGAAATAAAAAATTACTGCAATGCAAAAAAAATACCTGAAATAGAACATAAGTAGTTGTTTTCAAAACAAAATTTAAAACATACATCATCACCATATTCTTTATTTTCAAACATGTTTGTGCAATCTTTCACAATTGACTGCAAAATTCCTTGATTATGGTCAATGCACTTCCGAATCTTGTCAAGATGAGGAAGAAACTGAGGCAGCAGTTTTTGTTGATTGGCTGGAAGGGATCTGAACTGTCTTTCTGCACGATTCACTCTTTCGTGCATATTAATTCTAGAAAGGAGAAAACATGAACATTAGAAACAAAATAGAACTGGTTTTTGCTATATATACTGAATATTTCCACACTGGATTCTCACAGCTTGCATCCATACTCAATTATACTACACATACTAGGCCTCTATTGGAGTTACATCACTTTTATCCAACTGTCTAATCAAAGACAACTCACATCAACAGCTTCTTAAACAAAAATGTAATCTTGGTATAATAAGCAGCTTTTAAAATTTGGTAAGAATTTAGCCATCTACTTAACTCTCTTCGAAACTGAATAAGAACTATCCATGGTCTAATGCTCACCCTTGGTCAAATAATTAATGTAATATACAAGAAAGTATAACTGCAACTGCAGAAGTCTCTGTGCACTTAAGAAAAACATGTTTTAGTTCTTGTACTGCCATTTCCCTTGGCTGCTGTTTTTACTTTCTTTTAATATTTGTGTATTATATGGTTCAATCTTATTTTTGCAAACCATTCAGAGGCTCACTACTTAGCTGTAAATAAATTAACATTAAATTACATTTTAAAAATTAATATGGTCAGGTCTATCTACAGTTTGGAGTAACTGCAGTTCTGCTGATTCAGAATTGTTAAGCTGTTGTATTATATTTTCAGACTACAGTGTAACAACATTAAAGTGGTTCCGGTAGTTTAAATATATCAGGCAAAATCCAAAGAAATAAAACAGAACAAGGACAAAAACATGTGACACCTTAAAGATTAACTATTATATTTTAATGCGAGCTTTCATTCATCATGTCCATTTCTTCAGACATATGGAAAAAAATGAAACACAGAAAGAAAGTCCTCTTTTTGTTTGTTTATTTGCATTTTGTCTGATATGCTTGCTACCTCTTCTAAAACTACAGTAGATTAAATGTAACGTTTCTTTGCATTTTGCCTGATATGCTTGCTGCTTCTTCTAAAACTACAGGTAGATTAAACGTAATTCCAAAGAATAAGCCTTGTCACTTTGTTACAGAGAGAACATTAAGGGAGGGCCTTGTGGCTTCTTAAGGTCCAAAGTGGGCTGCAGTTCATGGATGTTTATGCCAAATAATTTGTGGATGTCCAAGCAATGGGGTAAAAAAAAGCACACAATGAAACAAACAAAAAAAATCTACTTTCACACCATGGGCTGAATAAGCTCAAGCTGCCAAATACCACAGGCCTTCCCTCAGGGTTCTGATGACTCCAGGGAAAAAGTCACAAAGGAGGATATACTGCCTAAATACTGTAATCTTGTTCCTATATGGACACCGTATAATTTACATTCCTGTACTAGTTTCTAATGCTTAACAATTGCTTCTAAGCCACTCTGAGATCTTCCATGCGCTATAAAGCAGGACATAAGTAAATGAAAAACAACATCTAGAATTGTGCAAAGAGACACAAAGACTGGCACATAGGGACACTTTTTGCCTTTCCTGTTTTTTTTTAAAATCCAGAACCAAGGGAAGGACAATATGCATACACTGGATTAACATGCCTCTGCTCATTTGTAGCAGAGACTTAAATACTTAATCATAATCATCATCATCATAGAACTGCAGAACTGGAAGGGACCCTATGGATCAAGGACAGCCCTGTCAAGGAGGCACAGTGGGGAATCGAATTCCCAATCTCTGGCTCCACAGCTAGATGCCTAAACCATTAAGCTATCTACCTACATCTGTCTTACAAATATGTACGTACAGTGGTGCCTCGTATAACGAGCGCCCCGTTTAACGAAGAAATCGCATAGCGATGGCTTTTTTGCCATCGCTTTTGCGATCGCACTATGATCTTGCCTATGGGGAAAAATCGCTTTGTGATTTTTCCCCATAGGCACCATTTTCCCCCAGCTGAGCGGCGGGAGCTTTGAAGCCCCGCCGCTCAGCTGGGGGAAAATGTCTGCAGTGG